CTGGGACAGCGTGACCGTTTCTACCATAACAAAATCAGCAAAAATTTCTCTTCAGACATAGTGTGAACTGAGGTTGCCCAAAAATATGCCTAGTATGAATATTACAATATTACATGCAAGAAGCACTCAGGTGCAGCCTAAGATGAAAACAAATATCGACGGTAATAACATTTCCAAAATGTAATTGAAATCAGATGTCTACATAGACCAAATAAAAAGAAAATCAAACGTTAGTTAGAATAACCAAAATTATTTCTATTTGCTAAATACCAGAAAACTGAGCTTCTTCAGTGACAGGCTTCATAAGAGGTTCTTCCTCACAGCAGCTGTTAGACTCTAAAACCAGCACTGCTCCAAACAGTGCTTACCTCCCTGCAGGTATTTGCAGATTTTCCTTTTACGTCTGTCGTTTCTTATGCACAATTGTACATATATTTGAACATTTCATTTTAGAAGATCCTACTCATTTGCACAATTCTCTGAATCTGAAGATGCTGTTTTTTTTAATGTTGTACTTGATGTGACTACATATTTTCATTTGTATTGAATAATTTTTATAGAATCAAATTTGCTACCTTGTTCTTACAAGAAAAGTTAAACATATAAAATATTGGTGAGAGAATAACACAATTAGCCCAGAAGCTAATGAAATAAGAAAAAAAAAAAAAAACACTTTCAATGGGGAAATTTGCTCTGCCAGACAACATGACGCTTCCTTTTCGTTCCCCACTTAATGTGGAGTAATGTGAAAAATATATAGTTCATTCAGTCTTTACAGTAATGAATGCATTTTCCAAGAAAGGGATGTGTCAGACAGAGGAGCTTAAGAATGCTGCCTCCCACTCTGACCCTCCAGTTTGCAGATAATGTAGAGGTTATCGCTTAACAGGAAACCATGTTGGAATTTGAATGGAAACCGGAAAGAAAGATCCCTTTTCTTTTTTCTTTTAAAGTCGCCGGGCGGCTGATTGAACATGGCCAAAAATCAGTGTTCACCTTGCACCTCGTAATGAGGATCAAGTACAACAGAGGAGAGCTCCGGCAGTGTTAGCAGACAAGCTAAATCTGTTCTCGTCTGCCACATCTTATTTTCACTCTAACTAATTTCAGATAGGGGAAAACCCTGAGCAAAGGAATGGGGGATGCCTGCTTGGCATAGCAAGAATTCTGTGTGGTACGACTTTGAAGCTGTTCTGTTCAGACCCAGACATTGTTTCACACCCAAAACAGAAATGAAAGTGTGATCTTAGCTCTCTCAACCACACACAAAAAAATCTTCTCTTTGATTTCTTACAAAATAAATAAAATCAAAAACAAAAACTATATGCTTCTACATTTATCACAGAAAATAACATATTCAAGACATAAAAACATCCACGGTATATTTGCCTTGATTAAATGTAGTCAGAATATGAAATGTTCCTACAACAATCTCTTTCGGTTTGGCTGACTAGTACAGATTGTTGCAATATTACATGAACAAATTTGAATCAGAGTGCTCACACTTTTTGTAGTAGTTTTGCTCATTTTCTTTTCCTTCACTCCCAAATTATTCCTAATTATGTGTCTCTACAGCTTTTGTGTAGAATCCCTTTGACACAGATTCCCAGTTAGATTTAGATCTGACATTTTACACCCAAATCCAACTTCAATTTAGCTCTGATAAATTGAAGTTGCTCTGACTATATATTCAAATGTTGTTATTCTGCTGGAATGTGAACCTCTTCCCCAGCCTTAAGACTTATGCAGCATTTAACAGGATTGCCCAATATTAAGCACCATGCAGTTTTCTTCACCTACTGAAAAAGAAAAATTACCACAGCCTGATGCTGCCACCAACATGTGTCACTTTAAGGCTGGTGTCTTCATGGTGATGTAGTTATTTTGCCAGAAAGCTACATTCTGGTCTCATATGACCAGAACATCTTCTCACACCTATTTAATGCATTTCTAAAGGCTTTGTTTCAACAACTTTAGTGACTTGTGACTTTCCTATGAAGATTTGCTGTGTGTTTGAGTTGTAGTTTTCCCTTCTTCCACCTGAGCAGCTGCAACTCCCATGGAGACACCATAGACCTCCTAACTGCTTCTACTTCTCACACTGTTGGTAGGTTCAGAGCAGACATATTTTCAGATGATACGTTAAACAGTGCCTCATAAGTTGTTCAAAGTACACTCTTGTATGGTGTTTTCTTTATAACTTTGTAATTTAGTGTTTTTATTAAAGTACCTTGAACCTCCCTTTTGCTAAAATGTGCTATGCAAATAAACTTGGTCATTTTTAAAACATGACCCTGTTTTAAATGTTTACAAAGATATATTCCTGATTTGTTTGTTCACTAATGTCCCCTAACAAACCTCTGAGGCCTTAAATTTCACAATTTTAGGATATTCAACATTAAAACTAATGTTGATAAAATAATTGACTTGCTAAAACTGTAATAACTGCAAATAGAAACTAAGGCAATTTACGCTAAAGTCATTATTTTCTGTAAAAAGGGTCTTGTAATGAAATGCAATGCCAAAATGGAAAAGGAAAAAATAATTCTTATCTGTCGGTGGCTTTCAAAACAACACGCTTTCCCCCAGCTTAACAGGATGCGCCATCATTCCAGCTTGCTCACACCTTCCTGTATGGACTTTACGCTTGGCAAACAAACTCCAATTTTCTTGAAGTGATGCCAACAGAAAGGTAAAATGGGGAAAATTGTCTATATTAAGATCCTTGATTAGCCTTTAGAAAAAAAAAAAAGAAAATGACTGAACTTGGCCTTAAAAATATACAAAGCATTTTATACAAGATTTCACTGAGACCAAAGAGTTTAATGCTGTATTTAAAATATAACAGACCAGACGGTTAAAGTATCATTCTGTGGTTTGGTGCATAAATACAGGCAGGCATTTGGAAATGAGAACAAGTCTCCTATTTTTTGTCATCGGACCAAGTGACCTCATAGTCACCGAAGACAGTTTTCAGCTTCTCAACAGACACAGAGTGGTCTGCTTTCCCAAAAGCCTGAAAAAGGAAGCAAAGAAAGCATTTATATGACAAAAGATTTCAAGAAAAAAAAATTATATGTCTTTAATTTTAATTCAAACTCACTGTGGATTCTCCAAACACCCTGATCTTCTTGTCCTTGTTGTTGTGCTCAATCTTCCCTCCTCCAAGGCATTTACACTCCATCCCTAAGGCCTCCAGAGCTGGACTGACCTTCTCAAATATGTGATCTGCATAGATAACATAAAAATAGGTTTAAATCACTTAACTCAAATAACCAACACGTGAAAGCTATTTATTTTGACTGTAAATCTCCTAAAGCCGTGGTCTGCATTATTCATTCTCGAAAGCGTGCTAAAAATTGTGCAGCTGAACTTTTGGCGGACAGTCCGGTTTGATGGGCACAAACACAACACTTAAAGCAGAACTGACACACTTGACGCTCCTCTTGCAGCAGACCTGCAACTTAGGAACTTACTGTGGTACTCCGCACTTTTAGTGCCTCGTACTACGTCTTTCTGTGCATCGCCATCTTTTACTTTAACTCTTAGCAGTATATATTTAAAAGTCCCCTCGGGATCAATCTCAACATCGGGAATTTTAGCCAGAGCTTCTGCCATTGTGCCCACAGATCTACTACCTACGCTATCAGTGAGCCTCCGACTGATCAGAGACCTGCCAAGCACGCTGAGCATGATACGTTCACGCGATTGGTTCCTTTTGCGTCAGGACTTCTATTTCCGGTCTTAAAGCGACAGGGCATTTGCAGTTTGGCACCACATACTTGCGACGCGTCGAGTGCGCACGCTGGTGACCTCGCGTGGCAAACACATGAAACGTGTCGCTTTGTACACAGACCTCATATTATTGCGTCTTGAACTTTGCACGTCACTACTACACACTTAAATATTTTATTTGGATCTTATTTAAGAGGCCAACACAAAGTCATTGCGAATTGCCAGTAAGTGGATACATGTTTTTTCTTTTTTTTTTTTTTTACAATTTCTACTGAGAAATAACTAAAGGCTTGTGGCTTTGTACTCCCATTAAGTAACATCTTTAATGTTAAATAACTTGAAAGTTATTTAAGGTGTGACTCTACCAGCTTTGCACATGTGGAGACTGAGATTTTTGGCATTTTTTTTCCTCCCAAAATAGCAGAAGAGCAGTCATACTGGGCAGAGACCTCTTCCCGAGATAGCATCTTTAAAGTCCGGTCACAGATTTAAGTCTGGACTTTGACTGGGACATTGCTACATATTTATGCTTTGATCAAAACCAATTCCACTGCAGATCTGGCTGTCTTTTCCTTGTCTTTTCGGGTGGCTTTTTATTTGCTAATGTCCTTCAACAAACCTCTGAGACCATAACTTTTACGATTGTAGAACAAGTTGTACACAAAAGTGCACGTTTGTTTTGCATATTTGTGGATGTTTACTGGTTGAATTCTCTTAACAGCAATATACACAACAACTATAATCAGGTTTTCCAAACAATGCTTCACAAGATTTGAGGAAAACTGATATTGCTAAATCTGACGGCAGAAGTTTTCAACAAGAGATTGTATTGTTCTCTGTCCATGTTTGTTTTGATTTGCTCTTGCCTATCAGAAATACGGATTTGGTCTTTGTTAATCATAACATGGTTTGAATAATAAACTTAAAATGTTATTAAATTTTTGGTTTGAAGAGCATTTCAGCAGGCAGCAACATTGATGTTTATCATTGCTCAGAACGTCTTTTGGATGCACTTGCAACAGAGGTATTGGTGTCAGGCAAAAAAAAAAAGAGAGAGAGAAGTCACAGACCTCTTGTGAAGTGGAATGAAACATTTTCTGTAGGAAACTTGTCATGTAATCTTGCCTGAATTACATTTTAAAATTCATATATCTGTTTCAGTGTCCTTGTATAAGAATACAGTGTTTGCACTGTAACAAATGTAATTAGAAAACCAGTATAAAAGTTATATATATTTTGTCTTTGAAGTGCATAAGAGTGTATAACTCTTACACTTTAAAGGGGAAGTAGTAAAAGTTGTGAGGACTCAGTTGACATACCCACATACTAAATTGAGTTTGGGTCTGGACTTTGAGGCGACCATTCTAACACATGAATATGCTGCGATCTAAAGCATTTCATTAGAACTGTGGTCGTTTGTCTGGGTTGAAGTTGAACCAAAACCCAGATCCCAAGTGTTTTGGAGCCGTCTTTCTATCAACTGTGATCAGCTTCCCTGTCTCTGAGGAAGGAAGGCATCTTCACAACATAATGCTGCCACCACCAAGTCCTATCATTGGTGTGTTTTGTTCACGATGAAGTGCAACAATAACAACGTGCATATACGTAAACTGAAATCTTTCAACAATGTTTATTTTTTTCACTCATTTATAAAGGCCAGATTTGAAGAATGCACAAAAACAGTTTTCAGGACTCATAAAACTACATATCATTTTTGTTTTCGGTTTGAACTACTGTGCATTAGTCTTAAGGTGTTTTGGATGCTGTTAGCATCAGCAAAGCATTTTTTTTATTATTTTTTTCAGAAACATTTGGGTAAAAGAACAGATACCTTTATAACTATAAACAGAATGGCAAGAGTTTTTTTTATGTCAAACTGTTTTGCTTTGCTGATGTGATTTGGTCGGTGTTGTTTTTGAGCATCTGCAAAGCTGTTTTATTGTCTCTGCATAAGTTATTTTTTGTGTGTGTGTGTGTGTGTGTGTGTGTGTGTGTGTGTGTGTGTGTGTGTGTGTGTGTGTG